CTCAAAAACAGGGCCTGCAGGCTACAGCTCTTTCACTGTCAACAATGCAGACTAGAACTGGCCTTGGTGTAATGAAGAGAACCAACACAACACACTCTTAATCCCAAAACCTGTCCAGAAGAATATCATGATTGTTGCTGAGAGGTCAAACAGAGCCAAGATGGATGCACTATACCACCCACACCTCACTTCCACCACAGTTTTTAATCAATGCTGTTTCAGTCCCATACTCGGGTCTGAAATCTGACTGAAAGAGATCCAGATAATACACTTCTTTCAGCATGCTCTAAAATGCTTCATGACCACCTTTTCTAGAAATATAGATGATCCACCTACTCTAGAAAGTAAATGATAAATGTCAGCATGAGTGGCTTTATCAATGGTTTCTTGAGGAGGGGGAGCACCATCACTTCCTAAATTGATTGTGTGACCACCTCCTCTCTCAAAGAAGACTTAACCATCACCAAATCCAACAACACACCACCTCTTGGGTACCTTAGCAGGCCAGGAGTGACAGAGGTTTAATATACAGGGGGCCAAGCTTACAATTCCGAGAATCCAATTTACTTCCACAGGACTAACAGGTTCAAACTCCTTCCAGGTAACCAAACTCAGAGCCTCAGAAATCTCCAGAGGGCCTACTGAAGGTTATCATCCAGCTTGGACTAAATCCAAGCAACTTTATATAACAGATGACTAGCATTTTCTTCATAGTAATCTTGTAGATGAACCTCCAAATCGGCCCTCTCTAGGGGGGTCCATATTAACTTGAACAAGGCTACCAGACAGTTATCCATGGACACAGTAAGTGTGGGGAAATATGGACATTTCACTGCCCTTGCTGTCATGGCATGCTAGGCATTTCTTCTCCCATTTCATCTCCTGTTCCTCTGTAAACCAAGGAGAACTTCAGGGAGAAGTGGCTGTATAAACACAATTCATCCAAGGTCTCCAGTGCTTCCCTATTCCAGACAGAAAGCAAAACTGTGAATCAGACCTTTGGAAACAACCCCAGCCTCCCTCTAGACCCAATCTGGGCCCACTAATCACCAAGGGCAAACTAATCAAATAGGTCCAACCTCCATACGATGAGCTGGAGCCCAGGGAACTGCAGAGAGTAAACTAGTTCCCCAAATTCCAGATTATACCGCCACTGCCCCAACAGAAAAAAAAATCTGGCATATGATTTTCATGATCCTTGGTGACCTGGATGAGCTCCATGGCTATCATAGTGGCCACAAACTCTTAAGCTATTTCAGACACTGCCACCAGAGAAAGCAGGTTAAAATCCCCTTGTACTACAAGCCTGGGAAACTCTCACCACTAGCCCAGGCATAGAGTCCTGCAGCTTCACCAGAGTGGTTGCTACGCAGCAAGGAAACTAGTTTAATAGCTACTCTCCCACCTAATACTTACAGGTATTAATAATTTGAATGACTCAGATGACATTCCAATTTCCCAATAATTGAATGACGTTTTTTCCAACTATTTTCAGCAGATGGTATTTCTAATTAAAATCTCAGGAGGAAACATCATAATTTATTTTGATCATTTTTCCACTACCCACTTATTTTTAGTCTCTATGTTTTTGATGGCTCTCATACATTCTTACTTGTAACATGTCTACAGTACACACCTGGTTGCATTGTTATTCCCATACATATTAATGATACTCTTTTAAATATTTAAAAATTGAAATATTTGTTCCCCTTCTCCTTTGAAATGTTGCCAGTTTGTTTGCTCTACATACAAAATGTTATCAGAAGCTGGACATACCATTCTAGCTGAGACAAATCTTTGCTGACCTGTACAGCTCATTCCTTTGTTCAACATAGCACCTGCCTTTTTTGCAACCAATTCACTCTAATGATGAATTCAGATTGTAATTTGTTTTTCACCCAGATCATTTTAATGCCATAAAGAATTAAAAGTAGGGGAAGCAGCCTTAGCTTAACAGCAGACTACATGCTTTACATACAGTATATAGTATCTGAAGCTAATTCTCAACCATTCCCAGGAACATCTAATACTAGTCAAACTATCTAATACTAACTTAAGTGGACCAACAATATGACTCAGGCTAACACACTACCTTACAGTTCCATTGGTTCTCTAATATGAACTGTATATTGTATTTATGGATTTATATAATTATACATGTAGAGAGACAATATCTATGAATATAATTTAAATATTTGAAAGATAAAAGAGTTTTTGATTTTCTGCAATGCCATCAAAAATTAATACAATAAAAAGAAAATATAATATAGCTATAGGCCTGAGATCTGGAAATGCTGTCATACGCATTAATTTGTTAACCTTAACCTAATAGTTTATCATTAATTCCAGCCCCATTCAGCTGAAAAAGATGTAAGACTCAGAATGTGTAAGCCACTAAACTTAACCTCTATCTCTGTATTTCCATTGTAGATGGAAATTTACATTATTTGAATTTCTAATAATTAAAAACTCCTGAATTAATTTAATTTCATTATGTCTTAGACTGGCAGCTTCATTAATAATAAGCTAAAATATTGTAGAGCTAGAATGTAACATTGTCAAATGGCTATTGTGGATGAACTCTCACTCGCATCTTTTAGAAGACTCAACGTTTGTGCTGCAAAATGAATAATCTAGTCACTATTTTAGTGGCATTAAAAGGTGAAGCAAAACAAAAATTGAGACAAAAAGAGAAATTATAGAATCATATTCTACATAGTGATTATCTGTCTTATGTAAGATTCAGAGTAAAATATACTCTTTTGCTCATTATACTGCATCAGGCCTACAATCCTAAACTGACCTTCCTTTTTCCTGATAATGAGAAAAGCAGAGAGTCATAAATCACCCAAAAGGTATCACAAGCACATACAGAAGATCCACAATGCTGAAGATACTGTTGACAAATGTCTGTCCAGGTCAGGAACTATAGCATGAACATATTAATTTAGAAAATTATTGCATTTACTTCTGCTTCTATTTCTATTTCTAACTGTTTATATCTCTGGAGTATAAAGAATTTCCTTAATTCACATTGTCAAACCCAATTGTACTATACTTCAAGGAAGGAAAAAACATGTTACTCAAGTCTCAGCACACAAGCTCAAGTCAATATATTCAGCCATATTTCTGCAATCAAGCTGTTCCTAAAATGGTCTTGTATCACTTCTTATGAGACCTTGTATTTATCCTTCTAGAAATATCACCTCTGTTATGTATCTTATGCCTAGAAGATTCCAAAGTTACTGTGAAAGATGCAACATTTCTTCTTGGAAGCAAGATGTCCATTTTCTCATCAGATTTTCCACTCTCTGGAACTATTAGACAATGGATGTATTATCCTACAATGTATAAACTAGGTGATGTATCTAATCATAGTACAAATGTTTATAGTTTAAATTTATTCCCCTTTGCCTTAGAAACTTCCAAATTCAACCAACTTACATCATTGCGTGTGTGTCTGTGTGTATGTGGTGTTTACATGTAAGGCTTCTTAAAAGTTAGTTTCAATGCCACCAGATATTTTTATTTAAGAAAGAAGATGAGCATAGTTTTCATTTGCATACAATAAACACTTACTAGGAAGGTATAATAGCACCCTGTACTGCTGTAATACCAGCATTTAATCCAGTGTTGATTCTGTTGCTACAGCAGTGCAGGCTCTAATTCATGTAAAATGGCTGACATGATATACCACCCGGTCCTCCGCTTACACCAAACCTCTTTTTAAATAAAAGATTCTGAAGACCTTTTCCCTTCCTCAGCTGTGTCAGATGACAAAGCACTCACTTTTAGTCCACTACTATTGAAACTGCTTCAGTATAATTTTATAATATAGCATCTTTAAATGATTTACATATGTTACCATGTTCCTCTAAAATGTCTTGGAAGATTTTTGTAGAACATCCATAAAGAAAATAATATTATAAATGACTGGCTTTTCCATAAACAGATAGGAATGAAACTAATCTGTTATCTACAGAGCAGACATTTTGAATGTTAACACCCCCCCCCCAATCCTTTTTCAAATAAAAAGTGTGCTTAGGTCCAGCCCTGGAATTAAGTTAATTATGGCAATTAATGTAGCTCAGATATGCATTTCATGGACTGGCAGGTTCTTGCCCCGTCCTCATGACTCTGCATTCTCTTTATGGCCTTCAGTCACAGCCACTGGTGCAGGGCATGTGGGGTGGGGTGGTGTTTATTACCAATATTTTTTTCCAGGCTGGGTGTATTTTAGAAGCTCACCTAACAAATAATCTGCTACTAACAATAAGAGTATCTCCGAAGAGCAAAAGCCTAGGACCTGCCCAAAGAGAAAGGGTGTCTCCCTCCTTCTGATGGATCAAGAAGAATGAATGACGAATGATGAAAGAGCACAGGAGGCTGGGTTATACCAAAGGCCTTATAACTGGGTGTTTTGCTTCTCCAATAAAAAATAAATAAAGCCCAAGGAGAGGAGATCAGCCTTGGCATCTGACTACTACTTGGCCCACAAACAATTTCTTTTGCTAAGAGCTAGTACCCCATCATTCTCCAGTATAATGTCTTTTTTTTTCCTGCTGCCCTTATCTGCCATGACATCACTCATACACACATGGACGCCCAAACCCGAATGCTCTGCTTCTAATTTTGGGGGGAAGGATAAAAAAATATATGGCATTGGGTTGCCTTTCAATAACTCCTGGAAACAGTGGCCAGGTGCAGAGCTCGATGACTAGACAAGCACACATACACACACCCCGGTTTCTCAACCTCAATGAATTCAACGAGGCATCCGCCGGGAACGCGCTCCATTCCATTGTCTCTCCTTGAAACCCAGCCAGCGGGTGAGGAAGAGCGATGCGCCACTAGACGCTGCGTTCACTGCAGAACGCCTAAGATCCGCGGCTCCGGGCCGCCCCCACCCACGCCGCTCCGATCCCCCAGGAGCCAGCACTGCGAATGAGGAGGGCGGTAGCTCAGCAATCCTACGGGACAATGGAAGGGCTGCGGCTTACCTCAAAGGCTTTCGGCAATCCGCTCTCGAAGGGGAGAGGCTGGGGCCGGCACTACCATTGGCAAAGCTCCGGCTGTGGTTCCCACCGGCTAGCAGAGCTGAGGGGCGTCTCACCACGGTCTTCTCCGGCTTGTGGTACTGATGCTGCGCTCTCTGGGGATGCGCGACTCCTGCAGGTTCACCGAGCGCCCCGCCCACTAGCCCTGCCCGCCGTTTGATTGGCTGAACGAGCAGACCAGCCTGTTGACCGCAGCCAACAGGAGGAGGAGCTTGGCTTAGGTTAGGGCGGCCCCCTTGCTGCAGAACTGCGTCGTGTGGTCCCAGGGGAGAAGCCGTGCAAAGTGAGATGGGAAGGGGAAGAGACCCTTTTCTCTGCCCTCGGTAGGATACAGATGCACCCTACTACCCCAAGCATTCGGGAAATCTATTCAAAGTCCATCACATCTTCCCTGTTCTTGCATTCTCCGTGGACCCAGGAGGTATCTGAGTCATTCCCAGCTCTTGCCTTGTTTTAGCAAAGACCACACTGAATGTTTATGATGCTTGGAAGTTCAAAATACACCCCACATCATCTTTAAACACTCACAGGCTGCATCTTGTCATAATTGTCTATTACAGTCATGCTTGGAGGCCGTCAGATTGTTGTATTGAATCTTCCAGAAATCTACTTTTGTGTAAACTCTTATTCTGAATGCAGCATTTAATTGTATATTCAGTTTTATATAGTTTATTTCTGAAGGTAGAATTCAAGCTGGGATTTATGTTAAAGTCAAGTCTCTCTCTCTGTCTCTCTCTCTCTGCAAAACCAACTGAAGGTTAAACGTGTCTGTATCTAACAGTGTCAAGTCCATCTTGTCAAAAAAGTAATTCATTAAAGGAAACCGACAATCTCAAAATCAGCAATTTACATTTTCATCTGGAAGGAATGCTTCCAAAGTTCCAGGCTAAGTTAAAATGGGCTCGGGAATTTAGTATTTAGTATTTTAGTATTTAGTATTTAAGTTTATTTATATGCCGCCCTTCTCCCTGGGGGGACTCAGGGCGGCTTACAACTTAAAAGGGGTGGGGGGAAACAAACTTTTAACATATAGAACAATACATCATTAAAACACAACATTCATACCATTCGGGTGGGTTGCAATCTTTAGCCCCAGGCCTGACAGGAAAGCCAGTTTTTAAGGGCTGTGCAGAAGGTCTGGAGGGTGGTGAGGGTACGAATCTCCACGGGGAGATCGTTCCATCCATCATTAACCTTCAGGCATCATATGGTTTAATTATTTCAAAAAAGTATGTAGATACATGAACACAAAAATTAGGTGTATGACAGGTTTTAGTTATCCTGATTTATATGAATCCAGCCAGTATAAGTAGCAATCTTTTTCCAACATAATAATGAAAAGGACCTTCTAGGCAAGAAACACCTGGGACTTTCTTGTCTGCTTCATCTCTGAGTTTGATTCTTTTGGGTTGACAGAAACAGGTTAATGTGCATGGCAGTGGTTGTTTCCACCCTTTGCTGGAATTACCAAAACATGCTTAAATGAACTAATCCCATTTTCACAGAAACATAGAAAACTGATGGTAGAAAGAGACCTAGTGATCCAACAAGTCTACCCTTTGAGAGGAGGGGGGTTGTTTAATTTTTTTATTTTTATATTTGTTTTTTTATTTTTGTTGAATGATGGATATCTGTTTATCCCAAGCATATTTAAGCTCTGTTACTGATGACTGATCCATTACCCCGGTTGGAAATTGTTTCCAAGCTTCTACTGCTCTTCTGTGAAGTAATGCTTTCTAACTTTACTTTTGAACTTCCCTTCTTTCTATTTGAGATTATACCCTGTGGTCTTGGTTTTTGCTTAATATTGAAAACACTGCCTTCTAGAACCTTATTCACGCCCCCTCCCATCCCTTCTGTCCTCCAGGCTGTATATACAATTCCTCCAGTCTCTCCTGATACGTTTTGTTCCTTAGACCTTGTACCATTTTTGTTGCCCATCTCTGAACTCGCTCAATCTTATCAATATCTTTTTTAAAGTGAGGTCTCCAGAACTGAATACAATATTCTAGTCCACAAGTCTTAAAGTTGCCAAGTTTGGGAACCACTGCAATATTCCATATGGAACCTGACTGAAGTCTATAGAGAGAGCCCCTCCTTTTTCCTACTGGTGATCCTTCTAAGGATGTATCTGTTTGTCTTCACAGCTGCCTGGCCACGCCGTTTGCTCATTTTACAATCATCTGCTATGAGCATACCTAAATCTTTTTCTTCTGTTGTTTAATCTAACATAATAATTTTAATAATCTAATTATTGAATCTAATTATGCTAAGTCCTCGCAAATTATATTAAAAATAATTTTCTGGCATAGAGTACATTGAATCTTGACACTAACCAAATGAGCTACATTCTAGCCCACCCTGCCATCTCATGAAAAGCTGTATTCACAATAACCAGGGTTATTGAGTTAGACAAACACAACTGGTCAGTCTTTAACTCATCTTGTCAAGCATTTTTGTGATTGTAGCTCACTGTCTCAGGGCATTGGCAATACCCAGTGGAATCAGTGGACTGTCAAATACAGCTAAAGACTATTATGTTGCAGGGAAAAACTCTATGTAACAGTAATTAAATCTACACAACATGCCTTATGACCCTCAGAGTCAATCCCAATGCTCCTAGTCTTGTCCATATTGGTCAAGAAATAGAGGTTGGAACTGAACCCCTTTGTGGGAAACTCTTAATCAATTGTAATTGGTTACTTAGAAAGACTAAACAGCATAAAGACCCATCACAGACCATCCATTTTGCTGTTCTTTCATCTGACCTGTGTGATCCTGAATGGGGTAGTGATGAGTTTGGAGTCCAGTTGGCACACATCAACCAATGAATAATGAAGTGAGCAGATAGAGATGATGTTCTTGCTTTTCTAATAAGCAGCTGAATTTGCTTGATTACTCCTTCTCATGCGTTCATACATTTCTTGTAGCCATCATTATTTATTTGGTTTTGGCCTAGCTTCAAAATTATACTGAGCCACTATAGTTTATAAATCATTGTTTACCGCAGGAGTGGCATCACAGCCTCACTTTTATGTCTCCTTCTTATGTTAAACCCAAATCTTTTATTTTATTTTATTTTATATTTTATTTTACTTACTTTACTTTATTTGTTTTATTTAAAATTTTCAGTAGCCACCCATCTTACCACAGGGTAATTCTGGATGGCTTATAATATTAATGATGCTACAATTCACTGCTAAAAGTTTCAATGAAACCCAAAGCATCAATTTTGCATTTCACTCCTCTCTTAATCTGAAAAATATAAAAATCCTGCTTCTTATCACCAATGTGTCTGAAAATGCCTCTTTAGTGTCCATAAAAAATGAAAGTGAAAATCATACACATTTTTGTTTTATGGTTTAGATCTTCTAAATTATTCAAGAAACTTTGGTTAAATCAGTCTTAGTATGATGTTTTATCCAGCCAATAAGAGAGAACAAAAGTGGAGGACACTTTCACTTTTCATTTCTTCTTTTATGCTATGTAGCTCTATTAAGCCCAATTCCTTTGGTTGCATAGTTTAAAGATTCAGAATGAATTGAATAAAGTGGTCATTTTATTTCTTGGCCAGTGATCTCACTACTGTGTGCCAGCAGCAGACAATGAAGCTAGGCTGGAGTTGTGCTGTCTGCAACAGCCACAATGCCACCATGTCTCATTTTCTTTACTTCATATAAGCCAATGTGGGGAACAATTCTATGAAGTAAGTATGGGGTCAGCAACACTACAGACAGTTTTGGGAGAGGCTCATCTGCTACCTTTGTGAGATAAGAAATTATCTCACTTGTTTCCTTTGCAATTGTGGGATGGGAGAAAGCACAAATATTAAAAATTTGATTTCAATGGCTCTGATTTTTTTTAACACCCCAGCTCCTACTGACCACAAGGGGTCCATATAGATAGAGAGTTAGAGATCTATTCTGTGTTTTCTCTATGTTTCTCTCTGTGTGTGTCTGGTCTTTGTCTATGAGATTGCTAATCTCATGCTTTTCTTTCTGCCTTTGTTTCCAAGGCATGAATGCACAGAGGAGCTTTTGTGTGTGTGTGCGCGCATATGTGTGTGTGTATGCATATGTACACACTCACAGTTGCTGACTCTCCTGTTTCCCTCCTCCCAATGGATTTCCTTAAATAAACCTTTCTGTTAAAGTCATAAACCTGTTTCACTCATTGTTGCACAGTAGATTTCTACTCTCAAAAACATCCACATAATCAAGACACCAGAAACGTGTATCCCTCCCCCAACAATAGGATGACAACTAAAACAAAAGCAATACTTGAAAGATCTTGTTTTCTCAGGGTTTCTCTAGGACTTACCTTGATCTCTGGAGATATAATCCCTTGTTTGCAGCTCCCAAACATTTGAACCAAAGGAAATAATTGAGAAATATCATAAATTTAGAAATAGTATAGTATTTAATAATAAAAAAATAATTTGTATGTTAGATCATAAGAATATAATATACTACAAGTAGCTTCATTATTCTTTGAGACAGAGTTATTGCTCTCATGGTTTACAAGGCTCTTTATGCTATCAGAGCAACACCGTAAAAATATTGATGGTTTTGTTGAATTGGAACATTACCAGCTTCTCACTGGTTCTGATCCCCGTAGCACCCTGAATGATGAAGCTTTTTCCATTTCTCATTTCTTTCTTCCCTTCACATGAATTTGTCTCAACAGCAGTTTGCTAATCAGAGTTTTTGGTCAAATTTCTAGTTTCTGCACAATCAGTTCTTTCTGTTCAACAATACAATAAAAGCTAAAGAAAATCGGAACACTTGTGTGGTAAACATTATGAAACCAAGAAACTGAAAAGACAAATTGGTGAAAAGAAGAGATACGTATTTTGTTGGATTTCAAGTCCTTAAAACACTAAGATACACCATTAATCACTCTTTTCCCCAAACATGTCCACTCTTTCTCTGACAGTTCAGTTCAGGGGCATATTTGATGACCTGTGTACATTCTCACAGATCCTATTAGATAAGATTCCTGTTTGGGAAGAGAAAAAATACTCATTACAGTCTGGAACCGCAAAATCAATAGCACACAGTTATTTGAAGAAGCATTCACAATTTCAGTTATGTATTTGCTGCCATCTATTGGTTATCTGGAGTTCTGCAGGCAAGATCTGGTAAGCCCTT